GTCTGAGAGGTCCTCTCAGACAAACAGCCCTTCTTGCAGAGGGGCTTGGGAACAACTGTTTATGAAGATGGATAGTGGTAGGACAAGGGGGAATGGTTTTAAACTGAGATGGGGAGGTTTAGGTTGGATATTAGGGGGAAGTTTTTCACACAGAGGGTGGTGAAGCACTGGAACATGTTGCCCAAGGAGGTTGTGGATGCCCCATCCCTGGAGGCATTCAAGGCCAGGCTGGATGTGGCTCTGGGCAGCTGGTCTGGTGGTTGGTAACCCTGCACACAGCAGGGGGTTGAAACTGGATGATCACTGTGGTCCTTTTCAACCCAGGCCATTCTATGATTCTATGATTCTGGGAGTGTGGATGCCAGAAGTGGGAAATGAGACAAACGTGATAGAAGTCTTAACAACTGTGCTTGAGAGTTTTGATTTCATAGCATCCACAAACTGATACTATGTGTAAAACAATTCTGATCTCCTTAAGTGCATTTGTCTAGTCTGCCATTTTGAAACCCGTGGTTCTTTCTTATTCCCTGTTTGCTTTGGGGAATATTTCCAGCAGTTTGCCATCACTTGGGGATTGTTTTGTTTGATCGGATCTTGAAATTTAGCTTCTGAAGAGCAGTAATCCAGTATCTGCTTCTCATAGTGACCAGCAGAGGAAACCTCAGGAGAAAGTGTAGGAGGTGTTGCCACCCAGCCCCAGTGGGTAATCTGTAATCTTTTGCAGGCACATATCTGAATATGCGTTAAGAGAAGACAGTAATTGCAAAAGGCTGGTAAAGGATAATTTTTGCATAGGTTTGAACTGTGACTTCTTGCAGTCAAAAGCTCCATTGTTTTACTTACCAGGAGAATAGAAAGTCTGTGGTGCCTTCTGGTTTCACATCTCTTAGGTTTGTGTTCCTGTGGGAAGAAGAGGGGGCAACGCTTCTAATGTCAGATAGCTTCTCCTTTTTCTATTGCTAGTCTAATATTTTCTGACTTCGGTTATTTCTAGTAGTTATTCTCCTTCAGGATTTTTGTCTACTTCTCAACTGACTTCCTTTCTCAAAAAATGCTGGTCAGAGTAAATGAGCATCGCATGGGAGTTCAGAAAGATTTAAAAGCTTGTATTTAAAGACATTGTGAGAAAAACATCAGATTGCTTATTTCACAAGTTCTGTTACTGTGAAAAAGCAGATGTTTTGCCTTGAAAGAAGGTGGAGGGATTCATCTGCAGCCTGTGGCTTTTATGACCTTAGCTGAGACTGCTGAGCAAGGATTTGTTGGGTATTACAGACATAAGCTTCAATGTGGAAGAGGTGCTATTCCTGTTTTTATCTTTTTGTCTGTCTTGATGGTCCTTAACTTGTCCAAAATTCTTGCATGGAGTCCCGTGAGCAGTTGCATTAACAACCAGCTGAAAGAACAGCCTTGCCCAAGTTCTGGAGTCATGTGCCTCAGTTTTAGCTCCAGTGATGATTAAAAACTCCCTGTTAGAGCTGTTTTCTCTTAGGTCGCCCTAGAGAAATTTAATTAAAACCTTTAGCCTCTTCTCCCCCCTTTTTCTCCTGGTAGGGACTTGTATTTTGAAAGCTCACGCAGTGACCTTGGGCCGAGTTCGCTCTTTGCTGGCAGCAGGAGCAGGAGTGCAGCTTGAGGGTTGCTGTCATCTCACACCAAGAGCTTGCTGCGCTGACACGTATGGTTATGGGTAGTTTTTAGTTTCGTTTTATTTTTTTTATGCCCTGTGAACTAGCAGAATCACTCAGCTTGTTGTGATTTACAAATTGGTGATAGGCTTAGGAGCAGTGCGTGCTGGTAGGGTTAGCAGAGAAGCACATTGCTCGCTCAGCATCCCTCTGCTCTGCTGCTCAGTTTCCTTCCCCTCCTTGCAGAGGATGAGGGGTTGCTGGGTGATGCTGTGAGTGACCCCTCGCTGTGGCAGCCCAAGGCCACCCTTCATTGGGACGTGGCACCAAGTTGCTCAGGAGGGCTGTGTGCTGCCTGTGTGTTGTGAGATAGCAGTGGTTGCTGTTAGCCCTCACTGCTAGCCTTGCTCTTTGAATTTGATTTTTTTTGAGCCTAGGACAGCAGCAAACAAATCGGGAAGCCTTGTGTAATCTCATCTGCATTCCCTCCTTAGTGCTTTCTCCTTGGTAGAGGGAGGGCTGGGGGCTGAGGGCTTGGTAGAGGGAGCTGGGGCCTCCAGCAGCATTTCTTCCAGTCGTGCTGTAGTAGAGGTGAAGATGGTTGCTCTCCTAAAACCTCATTTAAGCTTCTTCCCCAGTGCAGGCAGTGGTAGGTGGCTGTAGAGATTTAAAAAGTGATAACAGCATGCCTAGATGTTAATGCTGAAAAAAGCAGGTAAATGTAGGTTGTGTGCACACCCATGTGTGCTTGTGTTTGCTTTGGGACTTGGAGTGCTTCAAAGAACTGAGGTTCTGTTGGTAGGTGTATTTGGGGTATGCCTGAATAATGTCATTAAAAAAAGAAACACAATAGAATGAGTCATGTTGATGTAACTTGAATCTGTTGCTATTCTCTGGGCGGGGGAAGGAAAATCTCCCAGTGTTTACTGTAATATTCGTGTTTGCTCATGGGTTGAAGCCAGCCTGCTTTCTGTGCCCAGCCCTGGCAGAGCATCTCCTCACCATAAATGAGCATCGCCGCATGAGGAGGGTGGGGCTCTATCTTTTAAGTTTGGTGCTGTGTGGTGTAGGTATTCAGTAGTGCCATTCTTGGGCATCTCTCTTTAAGAGAGTGATGGGCAAAACTTAGCGGACCTTGGCAAGAATAGGAACAGGAAAAACCAGTTTGGAACATCTGGCCAGGGAAAAGGGATGAATATCAATGGGGGTTGCTTGTTTTAGTTTTTTGTTTTTTTTTCCTTCCACTTGGAATCCGTGTCTTCTCTTCAGAGATAAGCAACAAGCATTTCAAGCACTCGGGAACTTAGTGAAGATAGTGGTGGTTATTCTGGTTGCAGGCCAGAAACAAATGTATCATTTGCTGCAAAGCTGACTTAAGCGTTCTGCTGGGGAAATACTTTTATCTGATCAAATAGGAAGGCAGTAGGCGAGGCAGAGAGGAGGACAGGCTTTTTTTTTTTCTTTCTTTTTTTTTTTTTTCTCCCCCCCCCTCTTCTTTTTTCTCTCATTCAGTTTTTAGGTTTGACTGATACCTGGTGGAAGTAGTCTGGGTGCACTTACCTGTGTGCGTTGATGCAGCACAGTTGCATTTCTTGATTCATTTCATTCTTTTATCAACCTGTTTGTGATTTATTCTGACTGACTGCGGATCAAAATGACTTCATTTTGGGGAGCTTTGTACTTCCACTATCAGGCTGTGAACCTGATTATTGCTGTATTGAAATAGCTTAACTCATGCCATGAGGCATGTAATGAGAATTCAGAAGAAATGCTGGACAGTACCTCTGAGAAACTATTCTTCTGTCTTCAGTGTGAGGCGTAGGTACGAGATCATATAGAATCATAGAATGGCAAGGTTGGAAAGGACCTACAAAGATCATCTAGTCTAGCCATCCTCCTATCACCATTATTACCACTAAGCTACTAAAGCATCTCATAGCTCCTCATCCTGACACCTCTTGAACAAATACAATGAACATAGTTGAATATGTTGTACACAGTTTTAAAATGGTTGACTTAGTTATAGTTGAGTAAGTCTGTTTGTTGAAACTGTTTTGGTATGTTCATTGGAAGTGTTTTTCATTGCAGTAGTACAGCTTTTAAAGCAGTTACTTAGAGGTAACTTTTTAGTCACATTTAACTGTGGGTTCATGTAATCTGAGTAAATGCAGCATACTTGTCTAGGTGAGGCCTGGTGAGAGATGTGTCTGCAAATGAACTTCTGTACAGGAGTTCTGTTGCTGTTCTGTAGGGAAGTATCTGAGTTTGTAGGAAGCAGATTGGTGTGCTCAGTGTTTATGCTGGTCTGAGCAGCAGTGAGGCCTTGCTCCAGCCCTGTTTCATTTAAAGGATGATCCCATACTGGAAGCAGGCAGTGTAAATCTGGAAGAACAGAGAAGTGAATATAGAGGTCCCTGCAATGGATTTGTGCTGGGAAACACAGGTTATAGATACTGGGGTGTTTCCTACTGCTCTTTCCTTCAAGCCTGTGTGTAAAGACATGGATCCTGCTAAAAGGGTGTCCTGAGCATCACCCCTGTGGTAGCTAAATCACATGGCAAGAGAGCGGTCTTCTGCCTGTATGGGGAAAGGTGTGGAGTTAGTGCTTGTCCCTGCCAGCTCTCCTACAGCTCCATGGAGTGCACAGCTGGGTTTGTGGCATACTCACAAAGATCTTGGTAGGAGCATGTCTGAAACTGCCTGGCAAAGTTTGCTTTTTTGACCTCTGCATGGGAAGCTCTGACTTAAAGGCAGGTGAATCTCTGCAGGAACTTATTTTCAGCTAACCTTCGGGTGCTTTAGTGTCTTGCCCTTTCATGAGAAGATCTTATTTGCTGTTAGGAGAAGAAAAAAGGGATGATTTAATCCATAACTGGAACATATTATTCTGTAGTTATTTTATCAGCATTTCCTGACATGCAAAGCCTTTCTGTCTGAACTTTTAGCCAGTGCAGATCATTCACTGTTTCTCAGGAGCAGTGGGGAATTGTGTGACCTTTCCTCTGTGGCGGGGTGCCTGTGTGCATTATGTAATTGGGATGGATGTAGATGTGTTCAAGATGTATGTAATAACATTACTAGAGGGGAAGCCTCCTAGTCTGTTGCCTGAAGCTCTCAGAAACAGCACTGTAGGTGCTGTGTGTATGATAAAGATAGCAGCTGTCAGCTGAATGGAACATTTATGCTTCTAAAAAAGACTAATCAGTTGCTAAAAATTCTCAGGAGTTAACACTTATTGAAATCTAGTCCAAGTTGGCACTTCTGAGCCACCAGGTTCTGTTGGATATTTTCAGAAATGGTGCCTTCCTTCTGGAAGTCTGCTGTTGAATCAGTTCTGTTCTAATTACAAACTTGTTTTTTTCCTACTTTTAGGATACTTGTGAAAGATGGTGGATCGCTTGGCAAACAGCGAGGCAAATACCAGAAGAATAAGTATAGTGGAAAACTGCTTTGGAGCAGCTGGTCAGCCCTTGACTATCCCTGGTCGCGTTCTCATCGGAGAGGGAGTACTAACGAAGCTGTGTAGGAAGAAGCCCAAAGCGAGGCAGTTCTTCCTGTTCAATGACATTCTTGTTTATGGTAATATTGTCATCCAGAAGAAGAAATACAATAAACAGCACATAATCCCACTGGAAAATGTCACCATCGATTCCATCCAGGATGAGGGAGACTTGCGGAATGGGTGGCTCATCAAGACGCCTACTAAGTCTTTTGCAGTTTATGCTGCCACTGCTACAGAGAAGTCTGAATGGATGAACCATATAAATAAGTGCGTTTCTGATTTGCTTTCCAAGAGTGGGAAGACTCCTAGCAATGAGCATGCGGCTGTCTGGGTGCCAGACTCAGAAGCCACTGTCTGCATGCGCTGTCAGAAAGCAAAATTTACCCCCGTCAACCGTCGTCACCACTGTCGCAAGTGCGGCTTTGTCGTCTGTGGGCCTTGCTCTGAGAAGAGGTTCCTTCTCCCCAGCCAGTCTTCCAAGCCCGTGAGGATTTGCGACTTCTGCTATGATCTTCTTTCTACTGGGGAGATGACTGCTTGTCAGTCCACAAGATCAGACTCCTACAGCCAGTCGCCTAAGTCTTCTTTAAATGATGCATCTGATGATGATGATGAAGAAGACAGTAGTGATTAAAGACCAAACGTTTGTGTTTCAGACCGTATGGAGCTGCTTTTGGGGAAGCTTGTAGCAAGATTCCCTGAAAAAATCCTGTTCTAGCCATAAAATATGCCTGAATATCTTCAATTGCGATGTGCCTCGATCTATGAGTTCTCTAGACAATAGATTTTTCACTCCTCTGCAGGGATAGACTGTTGTAAATGTTATCAGATTGTTTTCCAGTTTCTTATACTTGAGTTATGTCTAGGTTAGACTTCTGTGGAAGATTGGAAAATAGAAAGTACTTTCTTAATTTCACAACCCACGCTTCCTAATGTTTCATATCAATATGTTATGTGGGGTTGGTTTTCTTTTTTTTTTGGTATGGAGAGGGAAACTGTAAGCATGCTTAGAACAGTGATGTTTTGGTTAATCCTGCAAACCATCTGTTCTTTCTAAATATGGTATGTGATGAGTTGAAATGTGACATGATTACAAACCTCAGTGTCACAGAACTTGGGAACTTTCTTGTTTTGCTCTTATTTATGACCTCCTATGCCAAGCAGTGCCTTGTAACACTTGTGCTGATTCAGGAAGAAACAATCCTATTTGGTGTTGTCTGTATTCACCTGATGCTGGTGTCTGAGAGATTGTTGGTGCTATAGAGAATAACTGCTGTGTTCAAAGCAGAGCTCTCAGCTGCATGCCTGAGGGGAACCGGAACTGGCTGAGGGGAACCGGACCCCACGCCCTCACTGCTCAGGCAGCCCCAAAGCTGCCCAACCCTGTGGGCTTCGATGGGGTTCTCTCCATAGGAGCTGTGCTGTGGGCTGGGACTTGGGGATGAGAAGCTGAGAGTGACTTTTCACAGGGACATCCACACTCTTTCTTCTCAGAGCAGGTTAGAAGTTTAAAATCTGGCAAATGCATACTGAAATTTTAGTGGGGCGATATAGCATTTTGCTGTGATAACTTATATTTTTGGAGTTATTTCCCAAATGCGACACTAACTTGTTTCTTAAAACATTGATGAGAGGGTTTTTTTTTTTTTCCACTTTCTTCCCAAATCTTACTGGCTTTGTATAAGAATAACGTCAAATCTTGAACAAGCAGCCTGCAAATCTGCATATGAAATTGGCTTTCCTTTGTACACAGCTGACCTCAGGATACATGTGAGATGCAAGTTGTTTCCTTCTAAATGTGTACCCAAGGACCAAGAAAGATGTATTTAAGAACTATAATAGTGCAGAAAATGTCTCTACCATAGTATTCATTTTTATTCTTAATTATAAATGTCATGTTCCTATGTATATGTAAAGGTTAGACTTGTAAAAACATGTTAGCCCCTCTCCCCCAAATTCTATGTTTTTATATTTTTATAAAGGTAATGTCAATTTTGAAGGGGTAAAATATCTTTGAAATAGATGTATGAATATAATAGCAACTGACTTTATACAAAAAAAAGGTTAAACTTTTGTGTATCTTTAAGTGACAGTTTCTGCACTGTTTGCCTTGGCTGGCAATAATTGGGTTATATATTTATTGAATAAACAATCAATGCTGCATATTGCACTAGTCTCCCATTTTTGTACACTGTATGTCAGTTAAAAAAACAAATTAGCAAAGCTCTTCAAAGCCATCTCACTCAGTGAGATTCCTGGTAGCTAACGATGCGCTCTGCATCTTCAGGGAGGCACTCTGCGTTAATTGTCTGCAGTACTTCAGGTGAAAGTAAAGGGATGGTTTTAGCTTGGGCAGTTTCTGCAAATAACTCTTTAAAAGCACTGAAGAGCATTTGATCTGCTTTGCAATAGACACAAAAAGGAGAAAACACGTTGATAGATGCTGGGGACCAGAAAGGTTATGTAAGTTTGCCAGATAAGCAATGTACAGCTGTATGTATTTAAAGACTGAAATAAATAATTACACATGTTCACTCCTTGAAAGGCAGGGGAATGGGAAAATGGGCTATTCTGAGAAGACACTTTGTGATTACTTTCTGTATCTGTCTTAATCGGAATGTTAAAAAGTTTCAGGAACAGAGACTTGTTTGCTTCAGTTTCTGTATGGATTCAGAATGCAAACTTCCCTTGTACATATGTTCTAATGGCTAACAGAAATGCTCTTCCTGATACGATTGTTTTCCTTTTCTACGCTATCAGACCTTGTTGAAGGTTCAATCTTTCTGTGTATTTTTTGTGTGTGTGTGTGTTCGTATATGTTGTGCTTACTGTCCAGCGCTTTGTGGGGAAAAGGAGTTGGGTCACATCCTATATTCTGCAGAATGTTCTTGTGTCTACTTCAAGTACCTTTTCTCTGTGAATGAAACTTGCACTGATCCCTGAAGCTGTAACCAAACCAATGCTTTTTTGGGGGGGAGGGTTTTTTTTCATTTTTCATTTGAGATTGGTGTATGTGGTCCAAACTTTGTGAGGAAGTATTAAAAAAGCAGTGTTCTGTGGTAATAGCCATAACCATCAGTTTGCTTAAAACTTCACCAAACGGACTTGCCATCAACTCCTCTTGTTACTTACAAACTCCGGAAAGGGCTTGTTTTGTTCTTTGTAATCTTGTTCTGTCAGATTGTTTTATTTACAAATATATGGTGTAGCTTCAAGCCTACGTGGTCGCTTTTCTTTAACTGTGGGCCTTGGAAGGTGACAGGAAAAAACAACTGCCCCCAGATGAACAGCAGGTGCGTTCGTTTTCAAGACCATTTAATAAAACTGGGGATAAATGTGCATGTGGGGTGAGATGAACAATTACTCTTGGAATGAATGCAGTTATGGATTTAGAAGCAACTTCAGCAGTTGCCTGCAGCATCTCTTTGGCAACGCTCTGCATTCAGCATCTGCTCTGTAGAGGCAGCCACACTGAAGGAACAAATCCTGCTCTGCTTCTGTGAGTTCAGATATTGCATGCTCTGCACCTTGCCCAGGAGCCTGTACTTCATTTGTTGGAGATGCTAAAAGATAGATGCGGGGGATTGAAACTAGTTGATCTTTGAGGTCCTTTTCAACCTAGGCCATTCTATGATGCTGTGACAGGGAGGTGGCTTCTGTAGGTTTTTAATTGAAGCCCACAACTTCAGCTTGTGCTCTTAATCAGTGCTGTTATCTCGAGGTAAGCGAGACTGTTTTGCATCTGATACATGTGAATTTCCTGCATCTAGTGAGTAACCTGCAAGGACTGAGCGCTGCTGCTCTGCTTAAAAGAAAGTTTTAAAAACCAAACCAAAGCAGGTGGGTGGATTTAGTGAAAGCTGAGAGGGGCTTTTAGTGTCCCTCCTCTAATAGGCAGATTATGAAGATGACGTGCAGAAACATTCTGCTTATCAGGGGGCTTTCCCCTGGGAATAGGCTTGAGTTAATCTCCCGGTGCAAATGAAATAGGGGTTATCGTTGTTACTGGTTAATGTTTAAATGGAAGCAGATTAGGGATTGTGTTACCGTCATTTTGTGTTTTCCTCTAATTGCTATGGACTGATAGAAGACTAGAAGACCGCCTGGTTCTGTTAGCAGATAATGCTACAGAAGGGCACAGATCTTCCAGTGTCTGAACGCTGATTTTTTTATTTTTATTTTTTTAGCAGCAGCAAATTATTGTGGTAAATATTAGAAATCGTCTTGGCTACGAACTGCCTTGTGTTGGATGAAATGTGAGATCCTTGTTTGTGCCTCAGGACTGCCTTTGCCAGAGCTGACTGCTGTGCTTCTGGGCAGCGCTGGGTGCGGAGAATCTCCGCTCTGTTCCCTTGTTGTGCTGAAGTTTGGGGTTGCTGGGGAGCGCAGTGCAGTGACAGATGGGCCTGCCGTGCAGTGAGATGGCTCTGTTACCCTGTATGGGTCTGAAAGAGTCCTAAAGCAGCCCTGGGAATAAGCAATCTGAATCTCAGTCTCCAGAGAAGTGTTTTCTGAACTACTTTTTAATTATCCATAAAACGCTACTCGTGACCTGAGTAAAAATTGGAACACTGCACTGAATGTATGTTTTGGCACATTTAGGATGAAAACAAAGAAAAGTGAGATGGGATTGGTTTGACAATGAGATGGTATGCGAGGAGCAGGATTTTTAGTGTTACTTGTACCCAGTACTTTAAGAAGCTGTCTCAGGTCAACTTCCTGCAGCCTAAGAGATTACAGGGTAGCAACAGAACCGAGAATGTGATGAAAGCAGGCTTTGGGATTTTTGTACTTCCACAGAACCCCAGGATGGCTGAGGCTGGCACGGCCCTCTGGCCCACCCTGCTCCAGGAGGGACACCCAGAGCAGGGCCCAGGACCCAGGGAGGAGACCTCAGGGTCTCTGGTGCTTCAGCACCACACAGCACAGCAGTGCTGCCTGCTGCTCAGAGGGAGCCCCTGTGCTCCAGTCTGTGCCCGCGGCCTCTTGTCCTGGCATTGGGCACCACTGAATAGAGCCTGGCTCTGTCTTCTTAACATCTTCCCTTCAGGTGTTTATGTAGACCCAGAGCCCCCTCTTCTCCATGCTGAGCAGGCCCAGCTCTCTTCTTGCAGGTGAGGGGCTCCAGGCCCTGCAGAATCTTCATGGCTCTTTGCTGGACTCTCTCCGTCCGCTGTCTCTCTCTTGTACTGGGGCCCCAAAACTGGACTTGACACTCCAGGTATGGCCTCATCAGTGAAAAGATTATTCTTGGTTATACAGGGAGTAACTGGATGAAATGATATGAATGTATCTAATATTAGCCTTTGGGAAGTGTTCTACGCCAAGTTACAGCAATCTCCAAGAAAACAGCTGGGGATGGGGAGCTGCTTGTTCTGAATATTGGTCAATTCCATTGGTGTGTCCCCAGCCCGGTCCTGTGCAGGCTTCTGTGAAGTCCCTTTCCAGCATGAGATGGGCACGTGCTTCCTTGTGTACAGATACAGAGATATGTGCAACCACTTCCTTCCTGATCCACCTGGCTTGCTTCATACCAGTCCTATCATGAAGATAACAACTGTGGGCTGAGCCCGCCTCTCCTGCCTGACACAGGCGATGTGAATGCAGTTAGGCTGGGCCGTGGGAGCTCCGAGGTTTGCATGTGAGGAAGAAGGAAGGCAACAGAGGTAATGGCTATGTTGAGAAAATGAACGCATTAATAAATTAACATAGTCAGGAAGCCTTTCAGTCCATCATGAGCATCTGAAGTGCTGTGGGGCTTGCTGTAGTAGGAAAAGAAACCAGCTGTGGTGAGAAGAGGCTGTGGAGCTTAGTCTTCTCTTGGCTCTTTTTCTGAAGTGAAAGTTACTATATATATATATATATATATATATATATATATAAGTCTGTAGTATATATATTTAAGTCTGTAGTAGTGTTACTCGTGGTGTGCATCTGACCTGACCCTTGTTATGCATAACACAGTCTTTTGAGTAGTGATCCTACATGTTGATTTAGTTCATCAGAATTGAGAGTAATGTATGCAAGGAGGAATGCCCCCCAAGCTCATTTTGAATCTGATTCAACTTTGCTGTTTGTGGTGTTTAAGTTCCTGCACGAGCTCTCTGGAAGCAGAGAGAAGTTGCCTTCTAGGTGCTTGCTTTCTGATGCTTATCACTTTGTGTTACAGGTCAGCTGCTTGGGAAGGTTTAGACATGGCACTAAGCAATGTGGTCAGTGGTTGGACTGGTTGATCCAGTTGGTGGTTGGACTGGTGATCTTGAAGGCCTTTTCCAACTTGGATGATACCATGAAAAGCAGTTAACTGCTAAGCTGCTCAGCACACACAAACGAAGAGTCCTGCTCAAGGGTAGAGTGCGATCCTTAGTGGCTACTGATGGCAGAGTCCTCTTGTGTAGCTGTTGGGAGAGGTAACTCCCAGTACTGCCAGCTGTGGCACCCCATAAGCAGGAATGGGGATGGAGCTACACTTACTCTGAATGCTTATTCAGGGTGCGGGGAGGGTTGAATGAATGTGGAAATTCCTGAGCAAAGCAAGCACAGAGGTTGCAATCTGCTGGCGGCAGCAAGCGTCAGCACGCCTGGTGTGTGTCGCCTAGTTTGGGTCTGACAGGTGGGGCTTGGCTATGAGCTCCTGGCTCCAGTGCTGCTGCCTGTGGCTTTTATCTGCAGTTTCTGTGTTGGATCTTGTGCTGTTTGGAGGTGTTAAAAGTATCCTTAGTTGTCCTTCCACTTGTGCGAGCATGAGTGCATGTGGACAGAGGTGTCTGAGGTGTCTGTCCCTGCTGTTTTGGTGGTGGATGCTATTTGTTGCAGTGTGCAGTGCAACCTACACCGGGTAAAGGGAAGGTTGGTATGCAGGATTTACATAGAATCACAGAATGGCTTGGATTGGAAGAACCTAAGAGATCACCCAGTTCCAACCCCTCCACCATAGGCACCTCCAGATCAGGCTGTTCATGGTCCCATCCAACCTGACCTTAAGCATCTCTAGGGATGGGGCATCCATAGCTTCTCTGGGCCACCTGTGCCAGAGCCTCACTGCCCTCACAGTGACAAGAGTTCTCCTATATCCAATCTGAATCTCCTTTCTTTTTAGTTTAAAACCACTGCTGCTTGTCCTGTCCACTACAGGGCTGTGTGTATGTATATGTACTGGATTTTTTTGGGAACTTGATTCCTTATTTCAGCCTTGTTTCCCAGCCTCTTCTTGAAGCAGGAAGATGGAAGAACATCTAAGAGTTGTTGGTATTTTATTTGTATCCAGGTGTTTCACACAAGATGTTTTTCTGCTGCTGCTGTCATCCCTTTCTTCTGTTCCCCATTTTCACCCATATGTAGTTCTTTCAGAGGAGAACTATCCTACCTCAATACTTTATTTTCTGCTCCCTAGCATAAGTGCTGACATTTGTCTAGGTTTGGAATGCCAGCACAGCACATTGCTTTGCTGTGCTCCTTCCCATCGTCCAGGCTTTAAACCTCTTGCTGTGGGCTGACACCTGTAGTGCTATCATTCCAGCAGTCACACTGCCCTGGGCATCACCAGCCACAGGCCTACCTACTCCTAAAGCAGCATAGCTTCCACTGGCAATGCTCTGTGCTGTAGCAAGATAGGACTCCTGCTCAGTGTTGCATATGCTTTCCTCAATGTTCAGGGCACTTCAGACAGTAACTCTGGGAATGTCCTATGGTGTGCTTCAGCGTTAAATCATTCTGTGTTTACCATGCAGAGAAAGCATATGGTTACAACCATGGCTCCATAAGGCAACACCCTTGTTATTATAGAAACTGTTGTGCATCCCTGCTCGAATAAGGGCTTCTCAATTGCTTCACTCTATGACATGTCTGAACCTGCCTCCTGCAATAGGTTTCAAAGGGAAAACCTCAGATCAAGGAAAAAGGAAAGTGAGTCACAGAGGAACAACACTTTCGGGGCAGGGTTGGTGTGCTCCTTCCTGCTGTCTGCTCTTCCTGGAGCCAATGAGTGTCAGGGGCTGCAGCTCTGGATGCTGAGAGCTGGATTTTGTGAGCACTGGGAGATGGGGAGAACGCTGTGTGACAGGTAAAGCACAGCCATCAGTGGCTAAGCAACTGGGGCTCTGTTTACACACGCAGATGCCAAAGCAGACTTGCAGGCACATTTTCCTGGTAGCTGGACCAGTGTTTTGTTTAAAATATGAAGTAACATCACAGATGGGAATTTCCTGCTATAGTC